TAAGGGTAATGATGCTCACCTCCCAACCTCCCATGGACATCAGGTGGTCAACACTGGAATCCTAGTGTGCCAGCCCCATCCTCGGGTGCCCCCTCACCTGATATTCTAAAACTTCTCTTGGTCAACAGAAAGGTTCAGGTGCCGGCGGGACCAGCTGTTGCCCCGGTTGTTTCCGATCCAGACATCATACCCCGCGTCGGCGAGGATGAAGCCCAGGCTGTTGTTGGGGAAGTTGTCCACCCAGTCACCACCATCTAAACTGAACCCATGCACAATCAACACAGGTGACCTGGATCCTGAAAGAGGAGTAACTGGGTATTTCACACAAGAAAATCCCTGCTCAAATGGAAATAAAATGGCCTTGTGCACCTCAGTATTATTTTCTAAAGGCTGCACATTAATCTCCCATGATTTCTCTGTCTCAGTTGGTGCTTTTTTGTTTGAAGGACTTTTGCCACCTCTGGCCCTGAGACCTTGTACCAGGGCAAGGGGTTTGCTCCAGGGAAGGAGCTGCTGGGTCACACTGGCTCATCCCAGATGTAGCGAAAGACCATGCGGGGCTCCTGCATCCCCAGAGACGGTACAAGGCAGCTGGGAAAAAGCTTCTTCCAGCTGCAGAATCTGTGTCTGAAGGCACATGTGTTCACCTTGGCTTCCCCTTGCACACTGCCTCATCTCTGAGCAGGTGTATAGCTGCTCCACCCTCAGTGAAACTGAGCCCACCTGAGTGCCCAGCTTTTCCCTTGCCATGTGGAATCCGGTTGAGGCTGAGGAAGTAGCCATCCTCTGTCAGCACGTCGTAGTCCTCACTGGGATACCCATGGAAAATTATCTTCTGGCTCTGCAGGGACAACAGTCCAAAGGGAGAGGGGAACCCACTGGTGTCCATCACCCCAGACATGGCCCAACAACACCAATTCCCACCACCCACCCTCTCCAGCATCACATCCATCAGAACTCCCGTCTACATTAGGGCAAGACCAGGGAGAGGCCAACCTCAAGCTGAGGGCATGGAGGGAATGACATCCACGCAAATATAGGAAACTCTTGATACCCCAAGCCCCCTGACTGACGCCAGCTGCAGATGCCAGGGCAAGGGAAGGTGAGAGCCTAGCTGGTCCCTCAAGGAGGACTTTTGGGCACACCAGCTGGAGAAGCCTGGGTCCTGCGGCAGGTGTGTTTGATCCCCCCAGCACTTACGATGTTCATGGACTGTTCAGGGTTGTCGTGGATCACTCCGGCACGTGGGGCAGCACTGCCCAGTCCCTGAGCCAGGCACAGGGCCACCAGCAGCAGCCACATTTCACCTCTCCACAGCACCTGGGAGATAATGGGGATGGTGAGCAGGAGGGTGAGTGCACTGGAGGCACGAGCAAACTCTGTGAAGCTCTGTCATTGCTGGCAGTGCCAGCAAAGCCTGATGATGCAACATGCTTTGGGCATTCTGATCCCAAGCCATGCCAGCTAAAGCACCATATGGGACCCTCTATCCAGCACTGGGTGTTCAACAGCATCCTGCAGCTCTGGCTGAAGCCAGCTGAACCACAGCACACTGTGGCACATGGGTGGCGAGGTCTGGGGGTCCCCAGGTGATGCAGGCAATGAAATGGAAAGAGGGAACATCTGGCTGGGGTGGGGCTCTGAACTGGGCACAGCTGGGGCTGGCAGGGGCTGAGGGAAAGCCACGTCCGTGGCTGCTGTCTTGCCCTTTTGCCCTTCCCCAGGAGTCCTCCTCCAGACACTTCCAGAGGCTACCCAGTTGTCTAGTTTGACTCCACAGAGCTGCTTTTATGGTCCCTGCCTTGAGTGTCCTTGCTTTGAATGTCCTTGAATTGAGTGCCACCCTGGTGTTGCCACTCATCACCTGGCACAAGCAAGTCCCCTCTCCAGATGAGGATGACTGCTCTGCAGGGATGTGACCAGCCTCCCAGAGCCCATTGTCCACCTCAGAGCCACATCCACACGTGTGGGTGGAGGGCTACCAGCACAAACTTCGTATTTGTACAGGTGCCTTAGTATGTCATTGTTATCTTCCACCAAAATCCAACACAATGTTTCCCAATCCCCTGTGCAGTTAGGAATTCACCCCAAGTGTGTCTTCCTGACCCTTCCCACCTGTCCCTGAGCCAGCAGCAACTGCAGTGTGGGTCAAGCATCCACCAGTCCCCTGCTCAAGCAGAAGGCCTCATGTTGGAGCTCCAAACCGCAGGAGCTCCCCTGCTCCAGCCCTGCCTTGCATCATCTATAACTTGTCACCGTGTGCCTTGCCATCCACAGCACCCCAGCTCAAGTGGATCCAGAATTCAGAACAGGTCCAGCGAAGTCCATTTTTCTGGTGACACTATTTCTGGTGCTAGAAAAGACTCTCTGGCTCCCAGAGATGTCTGGGCACATTTTCCTTCGAGCATGGAGAGATCTTCCTGGGCTGCTCAGGAAAATGAGAACCTTTACTCACTGCACAGCACCATGTGGGCAGCAGAAAAAACCTTGCTATCATGCATTAAAACAACATGTCAACTCAAGTCTTGCACTGTGTTCAAGTCCACCACGACGTCTTAGTGCCTACATCTCTCTGTGCAGGTGAGGATGTCCTTGGATTAAACTGCCATGATGGTCAAAGGAAGGAGAGGTCAGATTTCCCTGTGATTCTGCAGACAAACAGCACTGTTAAACCCCATCTCCTCTACAGGCACTTGCACTGTTTGGCTGCTGAATGTCACTGGCCACAGCTGCAGGCCAGATCCATTGGTGCAAATCACCATTTTAAGGTGCTTTTAGCCTGTAGTCTCTCCGAATTTCTTGTGCAAAGAAGTTAGGAAGGACAGCAAGAAGGAATATTTTAAAGTGGCTGCAATCTCACCAGGCTCAATTGCACACAGACACAGTCAAGACATGCATGAGGACATTAGAGACAGGCAAAATTATCGAAATAGCCACTTCAGCAAGCAGTGTGGATTACAAGGGACCAAGAAGCCAACCCTGCTAAGGAATTAGGAGACGGCAGAGGGACCCTCCCCATGCCAGATATAACAATATGCTTCCTAACGGTGTTTTCCTGTTGCAAACCAATCCTGAGTTTTCATACCAATTGCATATTCCTGATGAGCATGTCACACAGCAAACAGCTGCTTTCCCTTGGGTCTACACCTTGGCTTTCAAGGCATGGCTGGACAAAACCAGGGCTGGCCTGAGCTAGCACTGGGGATGGTCCTGCTCTGAGTAGGAAGTTGGGCCAGAGGTCTGCAGAAGCCCCCTTTCAAAATCCATGGCTGGGCTGGACTCAGCCAGAGCAACCCTTCCCCATCCCCTGGGCAGAGTGGTCTCCAACCCCACCAAGCTCCGTGCCCACGGTCCATCTCCCTTGCAACTGCAGCCAGCCCTGCACATCATCATATGCAAGAGGACCTTCCACTGCCCCATGACAGGCAACAGCCCACAGGCCTGTGGTTTCTGCAGCTTGTGCCTGGCTCACGGACCTGCACATTATGTGATGAAGATTTTTCTCTACCCAATGCCCCCTCGTCCAGTTCCTGGGGAGTGGCACTAAGATTTCCCACATGTCTGGGAGGTGACCTCATAGCTGAAGGCTCTGATGCCCATGCCAGTGTCATGCAGGTACTGTGGTGGCACACCACGGTAGCCATGACCCGCGACAAGCTGTGCCACAAAGCCCATGGATGTCAGTGGGAGCACTGACAAGCATTCAGCCACTTGAAGAAGCAAGTCCTCCTGGTATCCCAAGCGATTAAAGCCTTTGTGGCCAAGGAGGAGGGATTAGTCACTGCACATACCTGTGGCATTCAGCAAGCAGTAATAGACTCCTGGGTTTTGATGTAAAACCACAGTAGGAACATGTAAAGACCAACCAGAATGAGAGCTCTCACCTCCTGCACCCATGCCTTAGAGTCATCTCCATCGCCACGTACCCAGCCACAGTCTGGAGCCAGCCTTCGGTGGAGCATCCCCTGGTCCTACTCCAGCAAAGGAGGACTCGGCAGAGGAGATGTCAGCTCACTGCCTTGCAGGGGACCTGGCCACGCTGCCCAGCAAGCCTTCGTAGAGCTCGGCCACAGCAGGGCACCTCCTCCAGCTCCCAACTGGCCATCTTCAGCTGCCACAGCTGCGTGCTGCCACACTTCGGAGCTTCCACGCCACCTGATAAGCACCCCTGGGCTCAGACCCTGGGTGTTTTGGACCACACAATTCAGCTGTGGATCCTCCCACCACTTGCCAAAGTATGTACCAGAGCCCATAGCAAACTTGAGAAGAGCCCAACAGTGCCTTCCTCAGAAGAGGGACTGCAATGTGTCCTGCCATCCAAACCCAGAACTTCTCTCTCCACTGGCAAACCGCTGCTCAGCTGCGAGTCCCTGGGTATAGGCAATCAGGACGGAGGAGACCAGAGCTGGTCTCCGCTCCTTCTAAGACGTGCAGTTCCCACACACTAACCCTGGGCAATCCAACCAAGCCAAACCTAGGGGTGCAGGGACACCCCATCCCCTCCACACAACCAAAATGGATGGAGACCCAGGGAAATGTCTAACCAAAGCCAGGAGAACTTTCATCACTCTCTCAGCTCATCAGCGAGCACCAGAGCTCACACTGGCAAAAACTGAGCTCAGATGCAGAACTGCAAAGCAGACTCTTCAGAGGATACTTTAGCTGCGATGGTGAACTTCTCCACACATAAAATAAACAACCGGAGGGATAATAAAGCCTCTTGGCTCAGTTGAGTTCCTTTGTTTCAGCAACAGCCTGGGCTAGAAGGACAGCACGCACTGCATGTCAACCTGATCTGCTGCTCCAGGCCCATCCATGCAGTCGGGAGGGTCGGCGGCACTGAGTGAACCCATCCTCTTGGCTTATAAAGAGACATGGAAAGTCTGGGACTTATCTATCAGACATCTGAAAGCCCAGCCCCTCTCCAATCACATTGCTTGCTCTTCCTCTCCAGCCCAATGATTCAGACACGGCATCTCGAACTCCAGGGAGCGCAGCAGCAAAGCACCACATCTAAAGTAGATAACCAGCTGTTGGGCAACATCCTCCCTGTCACACCCAGGCCTCATGGCATCCTGCAATTGGGAGATGCATTGCTGGCATACCTCTGCAGAGGGATTCCAGCTGTCTCATCCATAATATGAAGGGCAATGTGCTATGGGGTTGCCAGACAGGTCACCAGCTGCTCACACTTGGCTTTCCTGGTGAAAAAAGGGCACTCATCCTGGCAAGACCCTTGGGATTTTTGTGTCTGTGGTTGTTAGCCTTGCCTTTTCTTATTGATGATCAAGAAACTCTTTGATCCTCATCCATCTTCAGCATCCAGACAGTACCTTTTACACCAGTGAACAAAGTTTAGCTGGGTGTAAATTGTTTGACTGGAATGTCTTTGGGAGCAGAGGTGTCAGGTACAAGGACTGTCGAAGCTAAAGAAAACTACCGTGTAGTTTCTCTATTTTATTCAGGCTTTTTGGAAGAATTTTGAAAATGCATTGTCTTGGAAGTTTGTAGGATTTTCTGAAGCTGCTGTTTGGGTTTTGAGAGATGTTGAAGATGATGCCTGCGTGATCTGCTTAGCCTCGGGAAATACCAACGTGCACCGGAGTCTCATAAATTTCATCTGGAGGAGTCTTGGCTCTTCTCCTGTAGGGTTTAAAATCACCCATCTTGGGGTTAAAAACCAGTGTTTAAAACTGCATAGAAATTCTGTGTGAACATCCCAGCTGGGAAAGGGATATAGCAGAGACTTGAGGTGGGATGTTCCCATTATCACACACCCGTCGGCAATGTGTGTCAGCTCTGCGTGTCAGCAGCAGGCACAGGGACGACTATGCTGACTAGTGGAGGTGACACAACAATGCTGGGTTGAAAGGGAAGAGGCAGAGCTCACCCAAGGAGAAGAGGAAGAAATACAAGGTTCACACGATGCTGCCAGTATGATTTTTTTATCAGTGTGAAGATCCCAAGAGTGGAAAGGGTGCAAAGTAATTCTCACGTGGGCATGCGTGACAATCAGCCCTCCAAGATGGCTGTCCATCCACAAATCCCTTCAACTTCATGTCCTCCAGCCCCATCACCTCTCCTCCTGCCAGAAGAGCAATGATGGTGGGAAGGGACTTCCAGGGTCTGCCTTCCAGTCTCCCGTTCACAGCAGGTCTGTCGCCAGCAGCCATGGCTCTATTTATCTGAGGTGGACATCTGTAACTGCAGAGAAGCATCCGGGAAAAAGCCAGGTGGAGGAAAACAAGCCTAACCAGCCTGGCACGTGGGACAATCATCCCTGGGCCAGTAATTAATGCATTGACAGTTTCTGGTCTAGA